CCCGTGTTCTTAACACATTTTTTTTTACTGTTTTAACCTCAAAACGTTCCTTATAATTGTTGCTATTAGCCAGTCTGGCCCTGAAAATGAGGCAGTCGAAAAGTTCGTCTACTAATACTGCCAATTTTGTTTGCAATTGAGGTAAGAATTTGTTGGAATTTATAAAGAACTGAGCGCAACTTTTTGTGCGCAATGAATATACATTTTTTTCTTTGGGCAGCACTGTTGTTCTCTGGTCGTCCACTCCAATTTTTTTTTCTGACCAGCGAGCTACAGATCTGCAGCTACATATGAAAAATTTCGAAAAAAAAAATTCCGATGTTAAAAACTTTTTGTATCAGCAATTTCTTCAGAGAAGGGTTTAATTTTCGTTGACCTTGTCAGCAAATACAGTTTATCATTGAGTCAAATGCTGACTGACGTATTTCATACTATTTGTTAATCCATTATTTACACTGAATTGACGACAAACTTTTCCAGATCATGACAAGGAGCACACGGCGGGTGTAACTGGTCGGCAGAGGATGCTTACTCCTCCATGGCACCTGATCCCACCTCTATTGTTCTGGAGGTCTGCGTTTGCTCTGCCCCTCTATTTTGTATTGTTTTATGGACTTCTGAGCTTGAATACAGTTTGTTATCTCCATGTGTATCATTTCAAGGTATGGAGAGAGCCACGAATTTATACCTACCACGATATGCTTTTTTTAAAAACTTGCATTACTACTGAACAATTCGTTAACCAAGAAATCTAATCCCTATGAACCAATATATTTTCCTCAAGCCACGGAAATTTGATTTCCGAAAATATTTGATTTTACTATAACACATAAAAGTATCAAATAAGCCCAAACGGTACTGTTTTTTTGCGAAGAGGCTCTAACAGTTTTGTCACGTCTATTGATATTAATATGCATATCAGGTTTCTATGGCTTTGTTTATATCAAGCCACAATTTGTCCATTCTTCGCCTTTACACAGAAAAAGTCTTTTGATTTACACTTATACATATGCAAAGGGCAATGTTAGACAATTTGCGGCTCATTTAAAAAATCTCCAAACTACGATCGAGTTAGCTACTAAAATATTTCATTCTTCAATTTTACAATCAAGTTTTGTCAAAACATTTGAAAAAGTTTAAATATTGTTTTTATCCTCTTAGTAGGTGTACATGGTGAAAATAAGATAGTAAAATTTTGAATAAGTGGTAAATTCAAGTAAAATATTTGATATGTCTGGAGATTGCAAAATACGTCAAAATGATCTCATTTTAAAATCTTTTTTAAAACAATGTTTGTATACCTTTAATGACTTACACCTATAATGATCTTTATGTACATATTAAGCCTTAATTGATTTTCAGTATAAAGGAGACGACACCGACGTTTTCCCCACAAACGAGGTGGGCGCCTGGAAGGTAGCAGATAAGTGGGATCTGTTAGGAACATGGAAGGTGCTGTCAAACAGTGCTTTAATGAGACAACAGAGTTGTATTGTTTCCTATACCCATATATTGTTTATATAATTATCTAGAAAAAAAAAAAATAAAATCTTGGGTAAATTTTTCCCAATTTTGATAGATACATTATACATTGTTTGACTAAGAAGGAGTTGTTTAGTAGTCCCTTGTCAATTGTTAAAGTCATGGTTGTCTATTTTTATCTGTAAGGTTGTTGAATTTTGTGATTTGATTTAAAAAAAAAAAATTCACCATGAATGTTATAAGGGAAGAAAAAAAAATCAAAGGCTTATAATTTTTCTGAACACAAGTTTATTTCAATAGGATACTAATATCGGTCTTTTTTAGGCAATGGAAGAACTAGTAGACCTCGGATTGACTAAATCTATTGGAGTGTCCAACTTCAGTATTTCACAAGTTGAAAGAATCTGCAAGATGGCTAAGCATAAACCTGTTATAAACCAAGTGAGCTTGTCTACTTAATTGTTTGGCATTAAAAGACTTACAACCATTTATGTTTAAGCAGCTGAAATATTTATAATTGAAAGATAATAACTGGCTCAGAAATGTGGACAAGGTGGTATCCGGTTTGATATTACTGTTTTGTATTTTAATTAATCATTAATTTTTCGTCAGGTGGAGTGCCACATATATCTTCCACAGATAGACTTGTTTGAGGCTTGTAAGAAACTTGGTTTAACAATAACTGCATATTCTCCTCTCGGTTCTCCGGGAAGATTTGCTCTTTGGTAAGTATTTCAGAAAATCTCATTAAATCATTCGTTAAATATTAATTAAAAATATTTGAAGTAAAATGTATTCTTTAAAAGAAAACATTAAACTTGTGTCAAAAGAATTTCAAACAATCATGTATGTTTTAAAAGTTTAAAAGAAATACGTGTATATTTCTGTTGATGGTAGTAAACAAGCGGGTGATCCAGTTGTCTTAGAAGATCCTGTCATCCTGAAAATTGCAAGGAATCATGGGAAATCTCCTGCACAGGTACGGTGACAAAACTTATCGATAAGAGAGGAGATAAAATTACTTGTTTACACAGAGCGAAATTAATCGAAATAACAACAAGAGATGGGAAGGTTTTACCTAAATGAATATTTATATGTAATAAATTGGACATAAGTACAGTGGGTTATCAAATATAGTTGACTATCTCTAGTTCCATTTAGTAAACAATTTTTTTTAATGCACACTGAATATCATTTACTATTCTCATGCAATATTTTCATTATTGTACAGTTAAACTATTTCGCAAGGCGCAGCTTGCCGAGGGAGATAGTCCTGGTCGGGGGGAACTGGAATCTTGCTAACTCCTTCAATGATATACTTTTTAACTGTTTTATTATACTGATACAAATAGAGGATTACGAATGGCGGGGAATTAGCTTCAAGACTAACGCACGAGAATTATTCCATTAACATATTAGACCGATACAAAAGTAAAATCTAGAGGTTTACAGATAACCGGGGAATTAGCTTCCGAAGCAGGGATTAGCTCATTTAACTAACAAACGGGGAATTAGTCCATTCACTGAGATTCTAGGGAATTATTCACATTTAAGGCCTTACTTTATATAGGAAAAAAATCAGTAGAGGTATGATAATAAGGATTATTATTAATAGGAATGAGGATTTCGGAAAATAGTGTTTTGCTGATACATTCCTTCTGATTTGTTTTAGACATTTCAAAACATTCTCAGTATCAAATAAATTAAAATAAAAAATCAATCACAAAATATTTTAACATAATACAACATTTTTGCAATACCTTTATTTTTACTTTAAAGTCATATGGTTTTCATAAGCGAGAGACGATTTTCATAATTCTGGTTAATGATGCTTACTTTGTGGCGAAAATAAGATGATCTTCAGGCATTGTCTTTTTTTTACCTTATTGTATGGTTAAGATTCAGTTTGGCATTCTACGACCCCGTTCAAAAAAAAAAAAAATCAAATCACGTCTATTTCTCAACATTACTTTAATCAACTTTTCGAATACATATTTTCATTTAAACAAAATTCAAAGACATATTTTAAAAATACATGTATAAAAATATATAAATGTAATTCAAAAGAAGATATTGAAATCTATTGTCATTTCCGCCAAGATGCAAAATCACATACAATATTAGTTGTTCATGGTTGAATTAAATACAGATATACATCATCAACATTATTGTCAGAATTATAACTTTCTTGCTGCACAGAAGAAATATAAAATAAACTTTTCAAAATCATATGCCAAAATAATCATTTTTTCTTCAATGTAGGACCAATAAGCAAAATTAATCAATCGAAGAACTTACTTTTCAACTGAATTTATTTCAATAATCTATCTTTACTTCAGATTCTTCTTCGACATTTTATCCAAAGAGGTATCATTGTTATTCCAAAAAGTGTTACGCCGGAGAGAATTCAAAGCAATTTCCAGGTGAATATTTGCAGTATATTCATGCATTTGAAGAATGTACTAAGTTATTTCAAAGCTTATTTTTGCATGTTTACGAATAAGTCCTATGGTTGTAAAACTTTCTCAGAAATTGACTGCTTTGTTGTACTAAAAAAGCCAATCATTTGATTTTTTACATAATGCCAGAGGGATATGAGGGAATATTTCGAGTTTATCTTAACAGAGCTTGAAAGAAATGAAAGAAAACGATAGCTGAATTCTTAAACGCGTTGACAAAAGCCTCTCTTTTAAAATTATTTTCAATAGAGTATTTTTTAAAAGCTTCATGAGAAATTAAGTGAAGGTATATACTAAAACATTCCTTAATAATAAAAAAGTTAATTTTGTATTTCATTGCAGGGTTTTGATTTTTCTCTATCAAAAAAAGACATGGAGGAGATTAACAACATAAAGACTCGACACCGCTTTTTCGACGCCATTTCTGCGATGTACGTCATATCTTCATAAAAGCTAGTCAATGCCCTTTTTGTCCCCCGCTGAAAGGGGGGGGGGTAATTTCGGTCTGCTGTCCGTCCGTCCATCCGTCTAGCTGTATACAGTTCTGTCTTTTTCACTGTCATTTCCACGCGACATCTCGTGAAGCCTTTGAGCTTTTTCAATGAAATTTTGCACAACAATTTCCTATGGCATAAGAAAGATCTTTATTGAATTGAGGTCAAAAAATCAAAGGACAAGGTATCATAAATTTAAAAAATGTCTTATTTTTGTTTCAACACTTTCGTTTCCGTGCAATATCTCGAGCAGCCTTTGAGCTTTTGCAATGATATTTTGTACAACAACAAAATGCCTAAGGAAAACCCCATTATGATTTTGAGGTCAAAAGGTTAAAGGTCAAGGTTGTAAATTCATACATTCTGTATGTGTGTGTATGCAAAACTTCCATATCGGGGCAATATCTCAAGATGCTTTTGAGTTCTTAAAATTAAATTTTATACTATAACATCCAATGGTCCATCCGGCCCTTCTTAAACCCCCCCCCCCCCCCCCCCCCCCCCCCCCCCCCCCCCCCCCCGAGGTCACCCATTCTCTTCTTTTTTTCCTTTAGTTTTATATGTAATTTTTATAACGATATTTGACTTTATAATTAATTACATTTTTTCGTCAACTTCTAAGAACAAAATGTTTGTTAAGATAATCACATATACGTGGAACAATTTCTACTTATGGAAAAGTTTTACTTACGTCTGTTGGGAAAAATCTGAGTTTAAATTTATAAGTTACAGAAATCATAAAAACATAAAATATTCATTTTTTTTGTTTTTCTGCAGGTGTAAAGATCATCCAGAGTGTCCATGGTGAAATTAAAAATAACAATCACATGTTGGACTTGTATAAAACATCTTTGTTCGAACTCTCTTGTATTTGAAAGAAATATTCATGTAATAATTTTAAATCGCTAGTGTTGTTTCTTTACAATTGAAGATGATATGATTCTAGTGTATCAAAAATAATTCGAAGTGGATTTTTTAAAAAAAATTCAAATTATATTCCGTAATTTTGATTTTATTCGTAACTTTTGATACTGGGTATTTTAAATTTTTTTCTTTTCAGCTTGATTAAAATTTATTAATACATACCGAAAAATTGAAGAGAAAAGATGTTGATAGCCTAACTACATGTAACAAACATGATTTGCAATGTTTGCTATTTAAAACTGTTGGCATTTGGCATCTTATATATACATTAATGTATAATATATATGCATTCGAGTTAAAATAAATCAAACTTTACAACCTTCAGAAGAAAAAAAAATCTTTGAAAAAATAGGCTTTCGAACAATGTCACAAAACGAACAAAATTACACTTAGATGTACTTGGTAAAATTAATTTGAAATATATACCTCTCTGTCTACTTTTATACCTCTTTTGTTTTTTAGACACATATAACAATTAAATGGTCGATATAATGGCCTCGTTGGCAATTACACCCTATCATTACGGCAAACGCTGACTACCGTTTTACATACTAATTAATTGTTATAACATAATTTTTCACTCTTAATTGTCTAAGATTTTTTCCATTTTCACTTAAATTTTCATATTAAAACAAGAAATACAATTGCTTTTATTATTATTATCCTTGGATACGCCCGCGTGGCGCAGTGGTTAGAGCGTCTGCTCTAGAGTCGCGAAGTAAGGAGTTGATCCTTACGTCGTGGGTTTGAATCCCACTGTGGGACGTGGAGACCGGTCCTTCGGATGAGACCGTATACACCGTGTATATCCCATCATGCGGGGTGTATACTATGTTGTGCGCGGGGTGTATGCTTCCGAAGCGAGAGAAAGGGGGTCAATGTAGGTTCTTTGTCCATTTTCTCAACTTACGGATATTTTTCGCCAGAATGCATATGCCTACGGAAGAATGCATCATCTAAGGAGTATATGGATACCAATGAATCCACTGGACACCTTCTAGTTTTATCAAACACCTCAACACAATTCCGAGGAGCGGAGCAAGATTCACGCTAAACTGTGTTTATGATCAAATATCATAAGAAAGCTTTGCTTTATCATCACTTTTATATTATTGTTAAATACATGTTAACTATATAAATGTTTGTACAAATTGTCTGTAAATAAAACAGTGTGTATATAAAGATATTGACGAAAAACCAATGTTGTGTCCGGGGTGTATGCAACATGTTGTATGCGGGGTGTATACCCCATCTTTTTATTAGGATTGTTAGTGCGAAGTATCTTTGGAAATATTATTAACACAGGTTAAAAGCGACAGGTAGTTTTGATAAAAGACCTTAATTAATACTAATGTCGAACCAAAAAGTAAAGTCCATAAACTTACTGAAGTATAAAACAAATTAACTAAATTTTAAAAAATCAAAAGAATAAAAAAAATTAAAAACAAACTATGTCTAGATGTGCAAGGAGCGATTGTTATCTGAATTAATGCTACATTGTAGATGGCGCAATGGTCTAAATCTACGTAATCCCTGCATTGAGGACACTTTGTTCTTTCTTCGGATAGTTTTAATCTAAATATTTCGCCTGTGAAAAATAATAGAAGCACTGCATGAATGATGTATTATGAATAAATTTCTTTTTTGTTTCTGCAACTTTAATGTTATCAATACTTGTTTTCTTAACCATTTATGACAGTGATGTAGAATTTTTTTTGAAGGGGGGATACCTGAAAAAAAAGCAACCTTGACATAAGTTGACTAGCTTTAAAAGGGGGGGGGGGTTATCGAAACTCAAAATTCTATTTAAGATGGGGTTGAAGGTCCCATCTTTTTTCCAGTAACAATTCTCCTTTTTTTTCTTAAACATACTACATAATCATTGTTTGACTATGCGGCAACAAAAGGGGGGGGGGGGGCAACTTGACTTTCGATGAACATTTTCTGTAGTGAAAAGTTGTGTCTGGAACAAAAAGGGGGGTAATACTACGTGTTTGTATGATATATTAAATTAATTTTCCTTTCAATTTTTGCAATATGTGGACTCATTTTTCCTTATCTGAAAAGATTTCATATTTAACAAATCACAATAAACATGTAAAGCCAGGTATAAAAATGCACAATTGTAATAAGGGACGACAATTTTCTCAGGGCATGCACAATTGAAAAGGAATGTTTTGGGTACAATTACAATTTTACGTTGACGTGTAATTAATATCAATTAATGTTCACCCCTCCTCTAATTTATAATCGTATATACACGTAGTGAAGTTACCCCCCCCCCCCCTCCCAAAAAAATGATCTAAGACACAAACACACCCTCCCCGGGCCCATTCCTAGAAAATATGTACTCAGTACAATACAATGCCTCAATATAAAACAAATAGTTTACTGCCAAATGTCAGCTCCTGGGGGCAAAGTACATAGCATATAAATACTACCTGAAGGAAAACATTTTTTGCGGTGTTAATGGCATTTCAAAAAGCTGAATATGTTCAATAAAAGGGGTGTGGAGATAACGAACAGTATTCAATCTCAAAGTCCATAAAACAATACAAAACAAGAGCAGAGCAAACACGGACCTCGGAAACATCAGAGATTGGTTCAGATGCCATGAAGGCGTGAGCATCCCCTGCTGACCGGTCACACCCGCCGTGTGCTCATTGTCATGATCGTTAAATAACGGAAAAATCCGTCGTCAATTCAGTGTATAAATAATGGACTAAAAATTGATATGAAAAACGTCCGTCAGCATTTGACTCAATGATAAATTGTATTTGCTGACAAGGTCATTCTATCGACCATAGAACTTACGAAATGATGACTTTAAACGAGATTGCTGGTATTCTTGTTTCATCAACTTGCTTGTCAACAATTTACCCCCGTTTAGAAATTGTTCATACGTAGAGCATACTCTTACGTATCAAATCAACTGAGATATACTAGTATACACTCCGTATGCAGTATCATTTAAAAATGTTGAAAAAGGTTAAACAGAAATTATGAGAAAATGTCAAATGTTCAAAATGATGAATGTGTGAAGCATTTATTAAGGAATGATCTGAATAAGGTGTCTTTGAATCGGAGGGCTGAATTTTTCGTTATCACTAAACAGTTAAACAAAGCACCCTGTACATTCATGCAAAGCCAAAAGTACGATGAACGTGTATCTTTTTTTCAGTAAATCGAATTCATGAACCTGTCCAAAGTTGTGCTATTACAAAACTGGTGAATAATTAAAAAAAATAAATATAACTTTCACAAAAGTCAATTGTTAAGAATTTTTTTTAATGATATTTCAGACAATGATACTATAAAGTAAAGAGAAGGGTATACACCCCGCGTACAACATGTTGCATACACCCCAGACACAACATTGATTTTTCGTCAATATTTTAATATACAAAATGTTTTATTTACAGACAATTTGTACAAACGTTTATAAAGTAAACATGTATTTAACAATAATATAAAAGTGATGATAAAGCAAAGCTTTCTTATGATATTTGATCATAAACACAGTTTAGCGTCAATCTTGCTCCGCTCCTCGGAATTGTGTTGAGGTGTTTGATAAAACTAGAAGGTGTCCAGTGGATTCATAGGTATCCATATACTCTTTAGATGATGCTTTCTTCCGTAGGCATATGCTTTCTGGCGAAAAATATCCGTAAGTTGAGAAAATTGACAAAGAACCTACGTTGACCCCCCTTCTCTCGTTTCGGAAGCATACACCCCGCGCACAACATAGTATACACCCCGCATGATGGGATATACACGGTGGTATAAATCGAGGTCCCGTGTCGCAGTAGGTGCTGGCTGGCACGCAAAAGATCCCTCCCTGGGACCTTATTCACAAAGCCTCCGTAATTTCCGCAGTCGCGGAGCGTTTACGGAGGAATTGCGGAAAGTTTACGGAAATATTACGGATGGTTTACGGCGTATTCACGAAGCTTCCGTAAACTTTGCGAAATTTACGGAAAGTTTCCGCAAGTGAAACACGCTGAACGAGCACTTGCATTGAAGAAAAAGAGTTACGAACATATTAAAACTTGAATGTTTTGAGCGTGTTTTGTTAATTTTTTTTAATCAAATGTGTTGCATTCTCGAAATTAAAAAAATGAAATGAGAACAAAACTTAAATGAGTAGATCTAATAACTTTCTAAGAAAAAAAAAGAATAAGACAGTATTTTATCACGTGTATATATTTTTATAGTGAACAAATATAAAGTTTTTTAAAGGTTATTTATAACTATTAAAATCAAGATACTATTCATATTGTTGTGATTATTACTTAGTGAATGGGTAAATGGGTAGTCGAGGGGGGATGGTTTATTTTTTAAATATACACGATTGAAACTGGTAATCATATATATAATAAATGAATAAACAACAATTTACAAATAATAAATAAATAATAAACGTTTTCGGTGTAACATATAATTTGTAC